TGTAATATAAAAGCAATCAGACTTGCGGTTTTTAACAAGAAGTCGAAAATATCACTTTTTACCAAAAATATTCACCAAAATTAAAGATATCATTACAAAATGAACAAATCTGAGAGAGGTCCACATGTAGTACCTATGTATGTAATATCAAAGCAATTGGACTTGCGGTTTTTAACAAGAAGTTGAAAATATCACTTTTTACCAAAAATGACAAAAATATTTACCAAAATTAGAGAATTGAAGATATCATTACAAAATGAACAAATCTGAGAGAGGTCCACATGTAGTACCTATATATGTAGTATCAAAGCAATTGAACTTGCGGTTTTTAACAAGAAGTCGAAAATATCACTTTTTACTAAAAATGACAAAAATATTCACCAAAATTAGAGAACTAAAGATATCATTACAAAATGAACAAATCTGAGAGAGTTCCACATGTAGTACCTATATATGTAATATCAAAGCAATTGGACTTGCGGTTTTTAACAAGAAGTCGAAAATATCACTTTTTACTAAACATGACAAAAATATTCACCAAAATTAGAGAATTAAAGATATCATTACAAAATGAACAAATCTGAGAGAGGTCTACCCAAGGTACATATACACCAAGTATCAAAGCATTCAGGCTTGTAGTTTTCAAGAAAAAGTCGAAAAAGTAAAACATTGACACGGACGACGAAGGACGACGCCGGACAATCATTCATATGATAAGCTCCGCTTGACAAAGTCGACAGCGGAGCTAAAAAAAAGGAAAAAAAACTGGTTTTGTTTTATTTCCCCATATGACAAACAATATGTTAATTTATGCTAATTATATGCTAATTATTATGCAAATTAGCCGCGACTCTATGACAAATTTCTGGGGAGAACACTGAAAATGTAAAATAACGCTATGATAAGCAAATCCATTAGGTTACTGGAAAATCTGTGAATTTAACAAAACCCAATGAATATACTATAATATTGAAATAGTTAAATTAAATCCCAGTGAAGACAAAATAGCGTTTGAGATTAGACAACAGCTGGTAGATCATGGGTTTGCATCTCCAGCTGATCTGATCAGTGTATGTGGTATTGTTCAAACCAAGCTGCTCAAATCAAATTTTAATGTGTGTGTGTATGTGTGAAAGCAGGGATACACTCTGAATATATCCCATGAGTAAAACATACCGCGGCCAACACACTATCAGGTTGAGTGCTTACATCGTCTTCCAAACCAATATCATCAATGTCAAAATCAAGTCCACTTGCACCTAGAGCTGCTGACAATAAGTCTTGATATTGTCCTGGATTGTCTCCCATCTGTAATGCAAAACAACAACTATCAAGATCAGTCATAAAGAAAACTAGCATAAATTAACCAACCATGTTGTATCAGACCAAGTCTTCAATAATAGATATAATAATAAACAGGTTTTTTTCCAAATCAGGGAACTGGGGCACAGTGCCCTGATACTCTCAGCTGGCGCCCTCTCACTGAATTGACTATTGAACTTTCAAGTAATAAATATATTTCTTGAGCCGTACACTTCCGTGCTGCGCACCCCATAAAATCTTTCTCAAATATTTTTTTTTTTCGTGAAAAGCAACACCAGCTGACAATGTGTCTGGACACTAAATACACTAAAATTACTCTAAAAGTACTTCAATGGCGATAGATACACTGTTAAAACGACGCAAAAAGCTTCCGATATAGCGTTTCCTGCTTAATCTGCCTGTGTGTGCTCCCTCTTGTTCATTTTTTTTAGAAAAAACCCTGATAAACATTATTTTCGCCTCCATGACAAAGTGTGATGGCTAATTTGCCTACAATATATAGTGAATAATTTAATGCTATGCTTCAAGTACATTGTACCCTTTTGCTGCTTGCCCTCAACAGCTCACTATATATACAATGTATGTGGTGGAGATGAATAGATGACTAAATCAGATTTACTAATTTCCTACATGTCTGAATTTTATATCAAGATTAATTAAAATCTGCATGAATATTATTTGTATTTACCACCATGTACTGTGACTAAATAACATACATGGTGGAGAGCACATATGGTTGTGAAAGTTCATTAGAGTGTAACAGAGAAAATGCCACACCCACTTCATAAAGGTTTAAAAACTCAATTCAAAAGTGCGAGAATAGTATTAATAGTATACACATAAAAATCAAGCTTTTAAGGCATGCATAAATTAAAGGAACACTTTTGATCAATCCAAAGATAGATTTGAAACTTTTGGGCAATAATGATGACAAAACATTACTTGGCCAGGGAAATAAAGCTTTGACACTCACTGTAAATGAAAAAAAGTGTCAACCCGGCCCACTTCATGCTGCATGTACATGTTACAATTCATGTCTGTCAATCGACCCTATAATAGTACAAGGTCAAGCACATTGCTCAATCAGAAACATGATACATGCTTATGAGACATGATTTTTATGCTGAAATCGGGTCATGGCTCAACTGTTGTCACTGTGATCATAGTAGATTGGAATTGTTTGTTTTAGGATATGTCATATCTGAGACTAAGCCCTATATATTATATATATATTTTATACAGCTTCACATTTCTCTTGAAAGCATTTCATTTGAACTGATGTTTTCCTTCTTATGATGACATATTATTATTGAGAAGATGACCTTAGACAAATGCTTAGACATTGTTATCTATTAGTAGCAGCAGCAGCAAGGTGTAGCTATGTCATATTTTAATGATCCAGCATCAAAAATGTACAATAAATGCAATTGGTTTGTGTGTGCTTCTACATGTATAGAGCAAATACAATAACACACATGTTATGACAATAGTAAATCACTTTTGATCAAAATACTGATGAAATGGAAATTCAACCAGGTTTTAGAGTTGGTACTAACATGCTCAAATTTTTAAGGAAACATTGCACTAATTACCGGTAGATATATTGTGATACTGTGTCAAAGGTGAATATGAATCAGACGCTATTGATTCGTATGAAAATTGACAAACATGCCTGAATATGCAAAATAGAGATCAATGAATTATTATATAATAAAAGCACCAGTCTGTAAATTTGGCCTTTAATAATGCACTGTAGCACACATACATATTGACCTTTGGTACAGGTAATATATTTAACTGATACATTTGATATTTATGAAGTGCTACAGCTCATGTCCTAACTTTTTTTGATCAACAATAATTTCACCGCAACTGCATTTCATTTTTTGAATAAAATGGCAACAAGTGGACAGCGACATAAAGCTATGATGCAGCAATAAGAGAGATTTGAATTATTTTAACTAATTAATAATTTTTTTTATTAGTTCTCTGTAATCATTCTACCAGAAACATATTTCCTAAAACTCTTTCTCTAACGTTTTTTTTGATAAATCTCTCACTCACAAGAGGTCAACACGAAAAACACATTGACCATAAATGTCCTGAACTCTGTTATTCTTATACTTAACTCAATAAAATGGCATTTCTCTGCAACTACACTACTTAAAAATACTAGATATATATATATATATATATATATATATATATATTCTAACATAAAACTAGGTTAAATCAGAATATGTACCGATATTAAACTTTAGGCAACACCCAAAAACGCTGATCATCAAGAAAAAAATAACGCAGTTTCATGATGATTCATAACAATTCATTACGAAACATCATCACAAATGTAAACAACCAGCTCTTTACTCTTAAACATCAGTTTCAGACAGTTGTCATATACAGTCAACAATGAGAGCGCATTTCCACAGTAAAAATCAGAAAACTAATAAACCGTGGTCCATTCAAAGGTTGAATTAGGTTGTCGCATATCCTTGCATATTATCGGAAAGGCCGGGTGACTTCCGGGTTACGAAATATTGACGAAAACAAAAAGACAAAAAAGACCTCTCCAAAAATAAGGTATTCAACCAAAACCCGATGAATTATGAACTAGTATGCCAGGGAGTGATACCCGACCAGTGAAACATGCAATATTTTGATTGGTTTCGGCACGTGCACGTATAATATTCAGCCAGCTATAGCTTACCTGACTTGGGGAAGTGCGGTGCTCCTGGAGTGAATGACGTTCCGACGCAGAAACAAAAGACGTAACAAATTGGTAAATCACACGCGTAGACAATTTATACTCTCCAACTTTGTAGTTAATACCTTTATATTTCTTGTGCTGTTGACAATGAAGTATAACTTCTCTTTACCTTTACGTAAACACAAATAATCCGTAGCGGACATCACATAGTCACTCACCGAGAGAAATCACCGCCATACCAACTAGGCTTGTCCCAGATTCTAATTTGTGTTACCCTTATATACGCAAATAAAAAAATCCGTAATTTTCTTAAATTGGTATGACTGCCTGGAAAATTTGTATACGCAGTTTGTTTTACCTGAAAAGTAATATCATTTTATTAGTTAACAACTTTAGCATGCGAAAATAACAGAGAAAACAGTCGGATAACCCAAACTTTAAATATGTTCTGGTACGAGGTGGTATTCTGCGCATGTCAAGTAAAGTCGACGTGGCATAAGTTCAGGTCTGTTACTCTCTCCTATGAAATCGTACTTTCGTAGGTATATTTAGCTATTTTGTCTTCAAAATGGACCAACTGATATTCGTATGGAGTCTCTTGATGGTTCTTGTGCACATTGGTCCCACTGAAGGTTATTTTATGGCCATCGATGCTCACGCGGACGAATGTTTCCACGATAAAGTAACGTCTGGAACCAAGATGGGTCTTACATTCGAGGTGGCGGAAGGTGGCTTTCTCGATATAGATGTAAAGGTAAAATAACCCTATATAATTATGTTGTTACTCAGTGAAAATAAGTTTGATGAAAAGAACTGCATGTTATTGTTCGTATGCATAGAAAAATGTGTAATTCAAATTGTAATACCAGTTTATTTACAAAGTCCTCTCCATAAACATACATGCAGCCACAATATTTCAATATTGTTGGAAATGTTATCATAATTATTATCGGACACTTCTATTTATAATGACATGAATGTGACAATAGTCAGTGAGTGTTGAACTTGGTTTATATAGGAACTGTTAACATATTGGTCACTGGCTAAATTATCAAGAATTATGATTAAATATAAATTGTAATTAACAATTTTATTACTGTTTTTTTTTTCTAAATTATTTGTGTTGAATACATTAACAGTGTAAATCTTCAGAAATTGCGCATTTTTTCTGTGGATGTCAGTATTTTATATATTTTTTTTATGTCTACAGTTGTATTACTAGTAGTATGTTATATAATAGCACTAGTGGTTTTATTATTTACATTCTTTTGAGAAAAAGTCACTCACCTCAGTGTACACTAATAATACATACATAATAGCTTGTTAATGTTTAACTTATTTCTCATCAAATGTCACTTGATATACTGTAGATGATGATGATGTTTCAGTGAAAATAAAATCCAGTGAATATACTTTTTTTTTCAATGTTTCACATTCAATTCATCAAAAATTAGAGAAATCAAATTCCATACAAAACACCCAAAAAGCCTTTTCAGCGATAATGAATTCCAGCTAAAATAAAGTATTTTACAGTATGCTGTGGGAGTTATTTACATGTTTCAATTTTGTTCTTAATTAATGAGTCTATTGATATTTACAATGCAGATTACTGGTCCAGATGGTAAAGTAATTTACAGTGGAGAGAGGGAATCGAATGGTAAATACACCTTTGCAGCACATATGGATGGTGTCTACAAGTACTGTTTTAGTAACAAAATGTCTACAATGACTCCCAAGATTGTTATGTTTTCAATGGATGTAGGTGACTCGCCTAAAGGCAGTGATATGGATACAGATGGTAAGATTTTACAAAATATAGTATTTCTTGTCAGTTTGATCTTTTAGTAGCGCTTGTCATATTTTAATGGTTCCGTATTCAATAAATTTGAATGCAGCTCAGAATAGAGCAGATACTATGTTTAAATTCCATTCAACCAATTAAGTTCAAACATGCTGACTGAACTTGGAATCTTTCAAATTACGTATTATACTGTAGTTCTAAGGTTCACAAAAAGCATTACTTGTCTTAAATTGAGAATTAAACCTCTATTTCCTCGTACATGTACTTGGCATGTCTTTCACACAGCTCATATACAGTACCTATATTACTGAATCCCAACTCACATGCGTGGCTTAATCTGGTGCCCAAATTTACCACAAAATTGGATTTCACAATGTTTTCAATGAGTGCACTTTCACCTCTACATCAAATAGTATCAGTTGTATTTATTACTATTGAACCACTTAGTTTTGCGATAAATTTAATAGTGGGCAAACATTTTAATTTAATTCCTTTAAGACAGTAAGTCACAGTGACTTCTCTGGGCTCCTAGGGAGCCACAGTGACTTCCCTGGGTTCCTAGGGTGTCAAAGGGAAATTTGTGAGAATGTTCTCCAATGTGAAAAATCATACTGTAGCAGTAAAAATAAAACAGTTTACAGTATTGGAATTTCTACCACTGGTTGGCACAAAGTTCAAAAATAAAGTATTATCTCTAGGTAAATAAACACCTGGTAGTACCACATTATTCAAAAATACTTGTAATAAAACCCCATGAATTTAGTTCAGTGTAAAATGACAGCATTTGATTAAATTTTTCTATTTAATGTTTTCTCCGCTTGTGCTTGTTCTAACTACCTGTAAAATCTGTATTAGAAGTCGCACCCGATCTTTTTGTACAATTGTGAACCAAAATTTTCTCATATGTGTAGATGCTCTAATAGAAGCCGCATTCCCTCTGTTACATTGTACCATTTTAATTAAAGCCGTGGCATCTAATACAGATTTTACAGTAGTTAATATTTTTTACCTATACTGTATTAGTTCTATTAGTGCATTAACTTGCATTACAATAGATGCATCTATGGTCTAAATAAGTCATACTTGATAATCTAATAAACAATAGAGCAATATACATATTATGTAGTCTAATAACCTTTACTGATTGGTACACTTCAAAATAGGCTTTCTGCCATGCTGCATTAAAATCAGCTGTCTATGTGACTGATGTTTTTTTGGAGTACCGTAAAAACTCAATCAATTCGGCCATGTAAAAATAAATATTTTTGGGGGTGGGCCAATTGATTGAATAAATATAGAAAATATGTTTCCGAAGTGGTCGATTTGTTTGAATAATTTTTCAACGTTTTAAAACTGGGTTCGAAGTGTGTATCACCGGTAACTGAATAAATATATCGTTTTCCCGAGATTAGAGTAAAGGTGTAGTACTAGTCTGAGACTTGACCCAATTTTAAAACAAACTACAAGCGCGTTCAAGAAATCTGACGCAACCAGGCCACCTGCTGTTTTGTTGCCTTGGAGACGACAGTTTTATGTCACGCTCCCCGTAAATGTAAACAAACATGGTAACGTGAAAAACTGAATAAATATATCGTTTTCCGGGATTAGAGTAAAGGTGTACCGGTAGTACTAGTCTGAGACTTGACCCAATTTTAAAACAAACTACAAGCGCGTTCAAGAAATCTGACGCAACCAGGCCACCTGCTGTTTTGTTGCCATGGAGAGCGCAGTCTTCACTTCACGGTCATGTTTTTTTACCCACAGTTAAAACAAAACAAAAAATCCACCCGACTTTTAAACGAACAACGTTGCAAGAGGAAGTTTAGAACATAACTGGGACGACTTGTGTCGAAACAATCCAGCCGGTGATTTTATTTGGGTCAACCAAAAAAAAAAAAGATATTTTGACGTGCTGCGTGACTGTGTAAACAAAACCATGTCCAATAAAAATGACGCTTTCACGCTACACATTGGCGACTTTGTATCGACTTACTGGAAATGCCGAAGACGATACAATTTGCAAGTCGGCATTAATTAATTTTTTACCCCGTTAACATTAATAATCTACTTGACTTTTAAACAAACAACTCTGCAGGACAATGTTTCGAACATTACTGAAACGACTGTGCTGAAACAATCCAGCAGATAATTTTATTTGGGTCAACCGAAAAAAAGAAGATATTTTGATGTGCTGCGTGACTGTGTAAACAAAACTACGTCCAATAATAATGACGCTTTCACGTAACACATTTGCGACTTTGTATGACTTGCTTGAAATTCCAAAGACGAGAGTCAAGTGTCGGCCTGAATTTTGTTGTCCCTAAACCATGGAGCTTCGTTTCGTCAGTGATTGCTAGCAATGACTTAAAGTATTTGTTCGTTGTCGATAATTTTGGCGTCGTGATGAGAATTTTCTTAGCGATTATTTACAACTGATGTACTGGGTAATTTGTAATGACAATCAACAGAGTATATTTCACCATGGACGTACTAGATATTTCACACATCTTTTGTACAACCACGGTTGACACCATGACGGCACATCTGGCGGATATCCCGATTGCTTATACCATGGATGTAAATGCTTATACATGTACATTGTATTTACGTGATAGATGTGTGAAAATATACAATTGTACCTTTGTTGAGAGAGTGACGTAAAAATCGGGCAGTGTCGTCACCGGGCGAACTAATTGAATACAAACATTAGACTGACTGGACAGATGGCCGAACTAAACGGATACATTTTAAAATTAACCATGACGCAAAAAATAGGTGGCCGAACTATTTGAGTGGCCGAATTGATTGAGCTTTTACGGTAGTAAGGCAAAGGTCAAAGTTTATTTCATGTTAACCACTACAGGTGCATCGTTCTGTGATTACATTTAAATTATCCGTCAATAACAATAATACATATAAGGTCGTCAACCTCTTCTACAGCGGGCGACCATCTTTTTTAAGCTTATATGTACAGTGTAGTCATTCATTAGTGCACTATTTTCTTTATAATGAACCCGACTTTATTATTATCTGCATTTGTGAGTGTCGCCATAGTACTTAATAATCAGATTTCTGCAAAAATATTGAAATGTTGCACCTACTGCCCTTTTTTATGTTGGGTTATGTCTGGCAATGTGTCTGTTTGACATGTGTTTTGCTGGTTAGAGTTGTGTGTTTTGTATAAAGTTGCAGACAAACAGTTTTGCTAATTATTTAGTTTATATCATATTTATTCATATTTTAATGTCCATTGGTTGAGGTCACATCATGTATTGCAGTGCTTATCATGGTCATGTTTCTAATACGCATCAAAGTATACAATAATAATCACGTTAATTTAACTTTGGTGTTAAATGTGAAAAAATCCTTGACACTGATCTGTTACATGACCTGTCTATGACTTCTAACCTTTGCACAGAGAATCTGATTGGTCAGGATGTTACCTCATATCATTCTAATGTATAATGGGTGGTAAGGATGCTGTTAACATTAGATGCTCACATATTAATAAAACCCACACATGTGCATATTCATTATCTTTGTTCTCAGCCCAGCAAGACAAATTGGATGACATGGTCGGGGAGTTGACTACCGCCCTCAAGGGGGTAAAACGAGAGCAAGAATATATGGAAGTTCGTGAAAAATTACATCGCATGAGTAAGTACCCTCATTGTTTGATAACTGCGTACTGTTTTACATTTCTGTAGAACACCACAACAAACTAGAAGAAATGGTGAACGAGTTAGCCACTGCGCTAACCGGGGTTAAACATGAGCAAGAATACATGGAAGTGAGGGAACGAATACATAGAGCTAGTAAGTTATCACTAGTTGTGATGTCAGTGTGAATAGAACGCTGTGTTGTGTTCCTGCTCTTGCTCTATTTACATAATAAATCATTTTGATTTTTGTTTTCATTCACGTTTTTTTTTATTTGTCTGCTATAGACATAGCTGACTAACATTAACAAGCCATTTTATAGCATGTTCATATTTTGCGCAGTTTCTTCTTTCTTTCTTTCAAAATGCACTTCTTTTGATCTGACATCTTTATAGTGTTGAGTTCACTTGACTATGCAAACTTTCCTGAATTAACAATGACACACTAGATGTACTAGACCTTGTTTTAGTTTTCTCAGTTGTCTAATATCAACCATACCATAGTATAAACCACTGTACCTTTAAATAAATGCTGCTTCAGTTTCAAAGTAGTGGGCTTCACCAGGCACTGTATTTAAAGATGCATGTCAACTTTGTTTTTTTTAGTGACATTCTTACAACAAAGCCTTTAGTTTGCTCTTGCTCAAATATTCTTCAAATAGCAATTATATGTTGTGTTTCAGTTTCTTCATCTACCCAGTAATACATTTTGATAAAAATGTCTTACTGGTGGCCATTTATTTCCTAAAAAGTTCACATCTTTGCTGTTCTATGCTTATAACTTGGTACAAGAACAGCTTCATTCTGTTATCCATGTGCAAAATCAAGATAGCTTTTGGTTACTAAAAATTTAGTATTATTCTTGTATTACTCATTTTGTTGAAGCTTTATATGTAGGCCATTTTCATGGTCATTTTGATTGTCAAAAATCATAAATTTCTTCACATTTCTGCTTAATCCTTAAATACACATTGATCATGATATTAATAAAATCAAGATGGCTTTTGGTTACCAAAAATTTAGTATTCTTTTATTATTCATTTTGTTGCAGCTTTATATGTAAGTCATTTTCATGGTCATTTTGATTGTCAAAAATTTCTTCATATTTCTGCTTAATCCTTAAATACGCATTGATCATGATAAATCTTTTTATGGACCATCTCTTATTGTGTTAAGATTGTCTTGTATTCTAATAACCAAGGCTGATGGTGGACTGCCAAATTGGTTGTCAAAAATCTTAAATATCAATTGCACAATTACAAATGCCATATACCAAAGTATTGTTTGTTTTGTTTCAGTTAACGACAATACGAATTCCAGAGTTGTGTTATGGTCGTTCTTTGAATCCCTCGTACTAGTAGCTATGACATTAGGACAAGTATACTATCTTAAACGTTTCTTTGAAGTCAGAAGAGTGGTCTAGAGTTTTCCATTATTTTTTTATTATTTTTATTTTATTGCATACTTTAATTTCTTCACCTGTCAGACACTTCCAGTTTACAGCTGTGACATCTTGATACTTTCTAGACACCCAGTAGACAATGTCAGCTTTCAATACTCATACAGTCGAGATTAAATCATCATCATCATCATCATAAATCTACAGCCTTTTTTTACGTCTCACTAGACACCAAGATGTAGATACAGAATGAAGATCATTTTATATTATGGGTCACAAATATATGTGTATTTGCTTTATTAATGGCCCATGCAAATGATGTGCGTCTATGGTAAAAAAATGAATTCTTGAATTAAGCTCTCTTCTATTTGAGATGTGCTTCTAATAGAGTGAATATGGTATATGAATATGCCAATGAACTATGGCATGAATAATGATTTTTTTTTCAAAGATGTTTTTATTCGAAGCAAACTTTTTTAGCAAGTCACGTTTAAAACCGCACACATCTGTGTAATGGTATTCTGTATTGTCACATAGAATTGATAAAACTCGGTGCTACCACTTAAAGATAGAATACAGATTTTACTATATTTGTTTTATTGGGAGCTCATCTCTAATTAGAGGTGCTTGTGAGCCGAAAATAGACGTTGGGTTTTCACCTAAACCAACTTTGCGTCATTTCATTATGTAAGCACATACAACAGATATGGTAATTTTCATGTAAATTTTCATTGAAGTTGTTCTGTTGCTATAATAAAATCTTTTATAGTGATATTTATTGCAGAGAATTTCTCTGTATTTGAAAATTATTTCGAGTTGACTCTGTCTCCATATTGAGCTCTGAGTTGTTTGACCAAGAGCATTAAATAATCCAACAAATTTAATTCCTTAGAACATAAGATGTTCATACTGATTTTAAATGGATGCTCATTTTTTGCATATTTTCAAGTAAGAGTTTTATCAATAAATTTTCTGAGATTGTCTCGGAACAAAACCCTAAATAATGCATTTATGTAGACTTTATTATATTAACTGGTCACCAATTCTTGACTTGAGTAAATATTTGTAGTATAAAGAAGAAACTGCAACTGGCATTCCTTTCATTTTGGCTTGCGTCATGTCATTACTGTACTGCGTCCTGTTCAATACGGAACTCACAGTGACTTGTACAATGAGTGTAAAATACCGGGGTACATAGTTTGTTTACATGAAATTCGAACATGCGCTGCGCAATGACCATCCCCTTGTAATCAGTTTGAATATTGAAATAGTGAATCAGAATTTATCTAGTTTAGATTATTCTGTTTTTAAATCTGAACAGGGTTGAGAACAGAACACTGAATAAATGTGTATCTGCCATCTCCAAGCATGTTTAACATTTGTATTTTAGGACTAGCCTAAATATCGCCCTCTAGTGGCAAATGAGCTAACACTTTATTTACCATGTGATGTATTCATTTTGTACATTTGGTTAAGTTGCCTCGCACTCGGAAGAAAATTTCTGAAACTCAATGTAATTTTCAAATAATTGTCTTATTCTAAGTCTGAACACCATTTCCAAGCACCCAAGCCCATTTTCTAATCCATCAAACCAATTGGGAAAGTATTTTGCATTTTCTGGGGTTGACCAATCAATGCACAGCTTTCATAAGTCAATTCTAGGGAGCCTCAGGTAACTAGGCTTGGGATTGGATAAATTGACAATAAATTTGGATGTACTCAGTGGTACAATAACTATATGTGACTACTTCATTCACGAATTAGATTCAAAAAAGAAAATATTTTGTTAATATTTAAAAAAAAAAAATCTTCAATTGTAAGACTTTGTACACCAATTATAAATGATATCATTTTCTTGTACAATTTAAATAAAGACTAAATTTTGAGATCTATGATGTGAATTTCTGAACACTTATTTTTTTTTTTTCTCCTCTGGGTGTATTGTAATACAGTTAAACGTTGATTATCAGAGCATCTTACTGTGGGTGCATTTGTATGTTAGATTTTGCCATATCTGAATATTCAAGTCTAACTGTTAACAGTTTCCCATACACTGCAGTGTAAACACTTTTTAATCACGACTATTTTTTACCGACATGGCCAGAGTGGCCTGCAAAGTTTATAAAATCAATGTATAATTTACATAAACTAAGTCCAAAAAATTCAACTGGTTCAATCACTGATAATGCTGGAAAAGTCAACCAAGCAGAGTAGTCGTTCTCAATACAATTTCGCTTTTTGCTATAATTCCATTCTGGTTCTAAGGTGTGGTTATTCTGGCTATTGCCATATATTCAATAAAATAGTACAAATATGCCAACCCTTCCTGACAGTTATTTTTAAAATGTAGGGAGACTATGGTGGCAGTAGATTTGAGAGTGCATGTGGTGAATGGACCTGTAAAATGTAGACTTGCATTGATGTTTTTTTTAAATAAAATAAAATATTTGAGTGTATAAATGGCGAAAGCCGGGTGGACCATAAAAGAAATGAAACTTGAACAGGTTCCTTTGCAATTAATGTTAATGAGAATTTTAATGACATAACAAATTGGTGTGGTCTACAAATCACAGGATTTTATGGGCGAAGAAATATGGTTATGCTGAAGGAAACTTTTCGAATGTATATTTGAACTTTCCAGCTTTCACGTTGTCAATTTAAACCCTGTCATCACTGATGTAAACAGCTTTCCGAAACACATGATGGGAGTCTTTGCGGTTAGTGCCACTGTAATTGCAGACTTTTTAAATCAAATTTATAACTTTCTGAAAACTATAGTTTTATCACTCTTCATGCAAGAAGAGTTTTGTAAATGTGTAATTGAATGTTTTAATATTGGGTATGCTAATCATAACAATTTTTGTTTTGAGTAATTATGCAAATTATATGCATATTCAAAATATTACCACCAAGTTGTACATGTCTGGGGAAACCACTATCTGCTTCACACTGGCATGGATCTGAATAGAAGATATCGAATTACTGATTTATACAAACTCTGACAAGACTTTCTAACAAAAACAATTTATTTGCCATTGTACATAAATTTTACAATATTAAAAATGCAAAAAAATATCAAAATTGTCATCCATATAAAAATACAATTCACAAATACTGCTTTTAATTCTAAATTTGACTTTTGCAATTCACCAATATAACCCTACAAAGCACAGAGCTGATTTGTTAAAATCACATACACGATGAAAAGACTATTTCAGTCTTACCTGGCATACATAGCCCTAAAACAAAGGATAAAGTTCATGCAAATATTGCTACAGCCATGGTACTCATTACACATAAACCCAAATCTTCTTAGCCTTGTGTATTTTTACATTGACTTAACCAAATCAAAATGGTTAAATATCATTAACATTTGAGGATGGATGTGAATAATTCGTGAAAATCCTGAAAGTGCAACAAATTCTTCATATTTTGTCGAGTAAAAGTTTCCATCACCTTAATGACTACTGTAAAATCATTTATCTTCACTGACATTTAATTTCACTATTTTGATGCTTTGAGCAAATTAAGTTCATAAATTTGTCAAGGAAACAATGAGTTCTATTGTTATTTTACATGTTCACATTTATTTAATTTTTACTTATGGGCAAAAAAAGCAAAATTAAAAACCAATAAATAATTACAGTGATGTGTTTACAGTAATAAAACTAGTCGTCATGCCGCGTCCTGTTTGATATGGAACTCATAGCGATGTATACAGCGCATGTAAAATACATTATTTATTTACATGAAATTCAAACACGCTTTAAGTCCTGTGGAATATTTTCGCTTGGAATTAATTTTCGCTGAAGAAATGATTCAGTGACAAGCCATGCATGGCACAGTCCCAGTTATCGAATTTAAGATATATAGTTTTGTTTATAGTAATATAGCTGGAACATAAACATGTCAGGAATTATTGTTTGATTATGATGATTGTTTAACATTAAAATGATTGACATTTGTATGGAGTATTGAGAGATATCGCTCTGGAACAGCATTGGTTGAAACAAAATCAGCCATTTTGAATACATGTAGTGTATAATGAATATATAAAATTTGAACATAATCAGTCAGAGATATGGCACTAAGGCTGCATTCATTAATACAAAATGGCCACCAGTTAGCCATTTTAAATCCGATCTGAAAAATAAAATGACGTGCATCAGGAACTCATGTCTAATGTATGTACCAAGTTTGAACAAAATTTATCCAGAAATGCTTGATATTTTATGATTTATTAGCACAAAAATGGCCATCATTCGGCCATTTTGAATAGGATCGTCAAACCAATAAATCTGTATATCTATTAAAATTTTAACATACTGTAATCAGTCTAAGCAAGTCAGAGATATGGCACTACAAGCACATTCATTAAAACGAAATGCGTGCCAGTCAGCCATTTTGAATCTTACATGTATCTGAAAAACAAAATGATGTGCATGAAGGTCCTATAATGTCCAACGTATATACAAGGTTTGAACAAAATCCATCTGTAAACAGCTGGGAAATGCTTGATTTTGATGATTTTTAGCACAAAAATGGCCGCCATTTAGCCATCTTGAATAAGATCGTGAAACAAATTGACGTGCATACATATAATATTATGTATGATGTATTTGTGAAGTTTGAATGTGATTAGTCCAGGCATTTCCAAGATACAGGGTGGGACGCACGCACATATGCACGGAGGTCAAAACATAAGTTTTGCGTCTGAACGGGGACTATAAAAAAATCCAAAACTGACAGTAATAAAAGTGTATATTTTGCAGAAGAAATAACAAAATATATCAGTATATTTGAGTAAAAAGTAAAATGATAATTTTTTAATGGTACCACAGAAATGCCAAACTAAATGTTGGCAAAGTTGACATGTGTTTAAGTACATACAGAATGATAAAAAACTTTAGTTAAAAAAACACCTTTATTGCTTTGCTGAGTATCGGTATTTTATGGCTATAATACTATACCGGTAATACATATGCACAAGATTATTAGATATTCCGCTTAAAAAAACATTTGATGACTTGCATCACTATGTGATGTCCAGATATGATATTTTGGAGTACAATGAAACATGCAAGAGTGATTTTCTAAATATAGCTTGTGGAAAACGAAAGTTTAATAGTGTGCCCTCATCGATAGATGAGTGCACAGTGAATCACACTGACCATGTTAAAGGATGGTGGTCGCGCATGTGTAACATTTGTATTGATTAACATTGATTTTTTAAATGTGCTCTTCCAATGGAAATCACAAAGACTAGTTTTGATGAGGGCCTGACATGCACTAATTATCGTCGATGACTCCCTTGATACCTTCCTCAACATTGTTCATATGAGACCCATATCTCGCGCATGCGTGGCGTAACGACCACCGCTCTTGAACTTCTATACTGATGTCAGTTGCCATCCAACACAGTTCTCATATTAGCTGTCACATAACAAGGTACAGCAAAACTGCACCCGGGATCCAAAGTCACCATACACCTTTTAATATATGTAGCGCCCTCAAGTGATGTCAACATGTCATAGACAGGAGTACGCAAAGTCAGGGTGGTTGATCTTGTAATAAGTCAATTAGAATAAAACAATCTCTAAAAAAAACAATTCATGGACATACACAGATCAAATATCCACATTATAAACTGTGTGAACTGAAACGTACAATAGAAGTGATTTATATTAGCAATGTAAACCATAATGCACCATTCCTGTAATTATGGAAATACTACCTCTTCATACAAATTCTCGAAACATCAAATTAAAAAAATAACACTATATTATTAAAAAATCTTATTCCATATCTCTGGATTATAACAAAAAAGTTAGTTAATCCTTAAATGCTTTGTAATGACCAAAACATTCAAAGACCATTTAGATTCATATCTTTCACTTCAATTACATCAATAATTTATGCATAATACTGATTGTCAACGTCCCGGATAAGGAGGTCATTTTCCTGTTCTACATTGCTTGCACCTGAAACAATAATAGAAAATGTTTACTTTCAGTGCTCGTATTGAATTGCAGTTATTAAAATTAAAAAATATTGCAACTTCAAATAATATCTAAGTATAATATTATAATGTATTGCAAAATCCTGATAGATTATAAAATATGAGGTGGGTTCCATGCTGGCACGAATAATAGCTTAGTTTTGTGAAATAATAAAGAAATTGTACATGCATGAACATGATTTGAAAATGTGTTGTAAGGTGCTAATACAGTGTAGAGGTATACAAAGGTATGTACAAAGAAATACAAAGTCCATTTAAGTAAATATTCATAAATAATTAAAAATATGAATGAATATTTCATAAAAAATAAAACAACAGAAAATGTGAAGACTCTGACTGTTATTTAGCACTGCACTGCACTACACAATATTATAATTCAATTTGCCAAAATAACACGTTCATTACATTGTTAAGGTAGAAAATTTGATGATATATAAAGGCATGTTTAAGGGGATGACATACAAGCGAGTTTCTAATCCAAGCACTAAAATATGCTAGCAATAAACAAACCAACACCAAAGGTAGCAGAAAAATTAATTGGCTAAGCACCAAAGGTAGCGAACAATACTGGAACTTTAGCCAACACTAAAGGTGGCCAGTAGGGGGTTATCCGAGGCCCCGAAAAAAGTTTTGCTTCTCAAAGGGAAAAGTGAAAAATTATGCAGTTTAAATGTTTTGTTTGTGTTTTGTTCAAACTTGTTTACAGTTATTAAATACATGCTTCTGAATACATACATTAAAGAAGTAACATCTATCTCAAAGCATCATTTAAAACTGAAATATGCAATGAACATTTTCTCATTCTACCACATATGGCGCACTTCACTAGTGAATGAAATTAGGCATCAAAAAATGTCTAAGATGCAGGTTTTTGACTGAGAAAAGCAACGATGAGAAGCAAAACTTTACTACTCTGGTGTGAATAAAATGAAAGGTTTGAAAAGCTGGAATAAATATATTAAATGTAAATATTGTTGAATATATAAAATATATAATTTGTTGCATTATTAAGTAAATATGATTCTATGCAATGTCTAGCAAGAGTCGCCAACATTTTGAAAGTATTTAAAAAATAGACCCTATTTTTATTAAGATCCTGGATAGCCATTTGTCATGATGTGTAATTTTCATTGACATCTTAGCACCATTTAAAACATACTTTGACACTGTATTATTAGAAATGTTTGAAATAAAAAACAAGATAAATATTACTGAATTGTAATAATTATATGATTTCTCATTACACTATTAGATTCATCATTCCATGCAGGAAATCATGTGGCCTATTTTTCCTCCAATCAGAATCATGTGGAATGTCAGCCATTGCAAGTGAATCTGGATTTGGAGGAATCACATTTTCATATTCTGGACTAATGATGGGTAATGGCTCTCGAAATCCACTCAAAGTCACTGACTTTTGTTTTTTACCTGACTTTGTTTGACTGTTTATAGTGACATTAGCATTGGAATCATTGGTGGTATTAGCAATTGGATTCTCGGCCGGGTTCTCAGTTGCCTTATTTTCTGACGAGGAGTCACTATCATGAAGTACAATTTCATTGTGTGCTTCATCAGACTCTTTTTTAGCACCATCTTTTTTTCTTGATTCACTTTCTGCAGGTTTCCTGTCCTCCTGCTTTTTCTTCTCTTGGTGCCCGAAAAATCGAAACCTGTAATGTTGAAAAAAGTATACCAAGAGTTCAATTCAATAAATTGTTGTGAAAGTATTGTACATTGTGCTGAATGTCTGTTTAATAAAGAGTGGTTATTGTTGCAACCATGGGCATTAAATATAGGTTCCCTACTATGCATGTGAATTGGACACATTCAGACGCTTATTATCACAACAGCCACCAACCTTTTAATATGAATTCTACAAATATTTAAAAACTATTTTCTCATTCTGTAAAATTGTCATTAAATTTCATAATTATTTTGGACCATACAGTCTGTTTAATATATGGCTTTTAGTTTTTAATCAAAAGGTTATTCATTTTTTATTAACATTTCCTGATGAGAATGAGCAGACTGTGAAAAATCAATTTGTAGAAAGTGCCAAAAGTTGACAATAACGTCATATTGATAATGTAGTGCATGTTGAAATTTAGGGTAAACACACATTATATTTTATTGTATACATCACACAAAACCTATATCAAGCACAACAGTTTGACCACGATTTAAATTACTAGTATACATTAATGCTGCTTTCATTGGATAAGAAATATATAATATTTCCATACGGTGATATGCAAGGAATATGAGAAAGAGCAAAGTGTAAAAGTCAAACAAATTGCATTGATTGGCATTAAATGATATATTCTAATGGTGTTAATAATAATTAAGACAAAATAACTCACAGTTTTCTGATACCAGATTCATGGTGTACGGCTTCCTTCCTCTCACTAGGACCATCCACTACAACTACATAGTCTTTCTCAATTTCAACATCAGCCCTATAGACAAGAAAATTAATTCAAAATAATTATTTACACTATAAGTTGGCAAACAACTGACATGCATCAATTGCTTTGTTATTTTTCTCTAAGGGAAGGAAAGCATAAGTGAATTGCAAGACAGACACACATTAGCTTCAACAATCCCATGCTCACCATTCATTAGAAAATATCAATAGTCAAGTTCATGGTGTAAGAACATTAGCAAGTATTAAGGATGACTGCCAATCATGACTTACTTCACCATATATGGTAAGAATACTGACTGCCAATCACGAATTACTTCACCATATATGGTAAGAATGCTGACAGCCAATCATGACTTACTTCACCATATATGGTAAGAATGCTGACAGCCAATCATGACTTACTTCACCATATATGGTAAGAATGCTGACAGCCAATCATGACTTACTTCACCATATATGGTAAGAATGCTGACAGCCAATCATGACTTACTTCACCATATATGGTAAGAATACTGACAGCCAATCATAACTTACTTTACCATCTATGGTAAGAATGCTGACTGCCAATCATGACTTACTTCACCATATATGGTACGAATACTGACAGCCAATCATGACTCACTTCACCATATATGGTAAGAATGCTGACTGCCAATCATGACTTACTTCACCATATATGGTAAGAATGCTGACAGCCAATCATGACTTACTTCACCATATATGGTAAAAATGCTGACAGCCAATCATGACTTACTTCACCATATATAATAAGAATGCTAACAGCCAATCATGACTTACTTCACCATATATGGTAAGAGTGCTGACAGCCAATCATGACTTACTTCACCATATATGGTAAGAATGCTGACTGCCAATTATGACTTACTTCACCATATATAGTAAGAATGCCGACAGCCAATCATTGCATACTTCGCCATATATGGTAAGAATGCTGACAGCCAATCACGACTTACTTCACCATATATGGTAAGAATGCTGACTACCAATCATGACTTCACCATATATGGTAAGAATGCTGACTGCCAATAATAACTTACTTCACCATATATGGTAAGAATGTTGACAGCCAATCATGACTTCACCATATATGGTAAGAATGCTGACTGCCAATGATAACTTACTTCACCATATATGGTAAGAATGTTGACAGCCAATCATGACTTCACCATATATGGTAAGAATGCTAACAGCCAATCATGACTTACTTCACCATGTATGGTAAGAATGCTGACAGCCAATCATGACTTACTTCACCATATATGGTAAGAATGTTGACAGCCAATCATGACTTCACCATATATGGTAAGAATGCTAACAGCCAATCATGACTTACTTCACCATATATGGTAAGAATGCTGACAGCCAATCATGACTTACTTCACCATATATGGTAAGAATGCTGACTGCCAATGATAACTTACTTCACCATATATGGTAAGAATGCTGACAGCCAATCATGACTTCACCATATATGGTAAGAATGCTAACAGCCAATCATGACTTACTTCACCATATATGGTAAGAATGCTGACAGCAAATCATTGCATACATCACCATATATGGTAAGAATGCTGACCGCCAATAATGACTTACTTCACCATATATGGTAAGAATGCTAACAGCCAATCATAACTAACATCACAATATATGGTAAGAATGCTGACAGCCAATCATTGCATACATCACCATATATGGTAAGAATGCTAACCGCCAATGATGACTTACTTCACCATATATGGTAAGAATGCTAACAGCCAATCATAACTTACTTTACCATATATGGTAAGAATGTTGACAGCCAATCATAACTTATTTCATCGTATATGGTAAAAATGCTGACAGCCAATCATGACTTACTTCACCATATATGGTAAGAATGCTGACAGTCAATCATTGCATACTTCACCATATATGGTAAGAATGCTGACTGACAATACTCACTTCAATGTTTTTAATTCCTCTTCCAATTCAAATACTCTGGCTTTCCAATTGTCTCTCTGTGTAAGAACCTCTACTAGTTCTGACTTAGTAAATCTTGGTCTATTTGGATCCTTTAGATCAATGAGTTGTTTACCATCCATATTTATCTCTGGTTTCATTTCTTTTGTTGCTGTAACAGCTACAGTCTGAAGGGGAAATCACAGTATCATTTGAAACATTCTGATTTTAGCATTGAGATAAACTCTAACCTGACTGTTCAGAGAATAAGCATCAGTTGTTGATTTTCATTTATGGCCCAAGTTCATAGGGTTGGACACCAAAAGGAAAAGTCTTGTAACTTGTGTGAGTATATCGCATATTGAAACATTGGTTGATGTTTGCAGGTACTTGTGTTGTTAGAATTGTGTACTCTATATGACATTCTGCCATTCAATTTATATTTTTATCGTCATATGATGTGTAAACTTAGATTAAACAAATGTTTTATAGTTTATCAATGTCTAATACACAACCACTCAGGAATATCAAGCAGCCCCCACTTAACCAATGTTTGCATAGCACAAAGTTATAGATTCCTTACCCTCTGTTCTTAACACTGTTCTTTAAAGCCATTTTAAATCAAGTTACAATTTAAATGATGCTATTTCTACTACCTTGAATTTAATTCATTTTTAATGCAATCCTATATTGAGTTGTAATTAAAAAGAATTTATTTAAACTCCAATTAAATTGCAACCCTATATATGGTTGCATTTTAATCAACCATAATGTAAATTATAAAATGTAAATCACAAATTATGGTGGCCAAATCGAGCACAGGTTGGTGGGGGGGAAGTATGTTTACATTGAAGAAGCGTATAGTTTTAACTGCTCAAACTGACCTCCTCATTTTGGTTCACTTCCTGCTTGGGTAGATTGATTTCTTGTTGTAGAGTTTGTATCTGCGCTTCCAATTCTACTTTCTGATCAATCAATGATGTTGACTGACTCTGGACAAATGCTTGTTTTCTTCTCAAGTCTTGGTTTACCTTGATCAGTCGTTCCAACTGCAACTGCAGCTACATAATTAATAACATAATATATTCTACTGTGCATTTCATGAAGTCATGATTGGTTTTATGGACATTTATAAAATATTTATAAATCACTTACCACGGAAGATACTCATGCTAAATTCAAATCCATAGAAGCCTATTCCATTAATTGAAAGTCCAACAATATAACCATACAATTTAAAAAAATAAATAACATGTTGTTTAAAAACAGGAGCGATTTATTATACGGTTGAAACGATCCCATTACCCATGAGTCATTGCAGATAGTTTTCATTCATTAGCCAATTTACGGCCATGCATCCTAAACAGTAGTGATTGTGGTTTCTGACCATCATTTGAATTTTATGAATATTTGTATAAAATAAATTCATGAAACTAAGATATGATATAAAATTGGGATTTTAACATTTTCGGATGATAAATTTATCACATAATCCTTGAATGTAAGCCACACCAATAATGGTAAAAGTATTCTTTTCTTGTGAAATAGTTGAGTGTCCTGTACATGACTACACAAATATTACAATGGTAATCAAGACACCATAAACAGGATATGAGAGTAGTTGTTGTGTTTTTAAAAAAAAAAAAAAATAACAATAAATAACAATAAAAAATATTTGAACTCAAATA